TTACCCAGGGTCACACAGCTAGTAAGTGTCAAGTGTTTGGTTTGAGGCTAGATTTGAACTCAGGTCCTCCTGACTTCAGGGCCGGTGCTTTATCCACTGTGCCACCTAGCTGCCCTGAGCTACATTATAATCTTAAAAGGCTGCATTTGGGTAATTTTGTTGGCTAAGAGTTTGGTACTTGCTTATACTTCATGTTAGAATCCTGTTGAAGTAGAAGGAGTTGGCTAAAAGGTATTTCTGTTATTTCCCATTTCATCCAATGTTTTTATACAGCCGCAAATAATTTTCTATTAATTTCCTTTGAACTCTTACATTTATGTTCCTGTTCAGATCATTCAGGATTGTAAACACAGAATCATGGGGAATCATGACTAATAGGGAAGGGAAAGAGGAATAAACATTTATGTAGTGCCTACTATGTATGAGAAGAGTTTTCTTATGTTTCATTTCTATGAAGTAGCAGCATTCTGTATTAAGATTAGCTGCAAAATAGTCCATATTCCAAGACTATGCATTTTGAAATCTGTTTGCACAAATTTCAATATGGTATTCATATATTTTTATGGGCCCTTTTGTGAAAAGAATAAAAACCATTTGAATTCTAACCAAGACCCCATTCTACATTCTTTTCTCCAGAAGCATATTTTTCTTGGGAAGAAATACTTCCCTTGTGTGTAAGTTAATAAATGAATTAATAAAAAGCATTTACTCAATGTTTACCATGTGCCAAGCATTGTGCTAAGGGCTGAGAATATAAATACAAAAATTAGACATTCCCTGCCCTCAAGCAAGGTGGGGAACAGCACATATAGGGGACTGGTAGCCAGGGAGGAGTGTTTTAATATGGAAAATCAAAGGAATGGTAAGTGGAGTCACAGGGGAATAGAAATGACAAATCCTCTCTAATAGCAGTGGCAGAATTATCATTGGTTCCATGGTTGTAAATGGGTGTGGGAGAGTTGATACAAACTCTAAATAAAACATGGTGAATGGTGAGATGTCCAACATGTAAAGTGAAGTATGGTTGAGTCTGACTGGGTTTGGTGGCATTCACCATTGTAAAATTTTTAACATCATATATTTGTAAGTCTAATTTTTTTATTTACTTGTTATCTATTTTTTTTCTATTTACCCCCCAAGCTCTAACACATCATACATGCAATATGCAGCAAGACTCAGTATTCTTAACTATATAATCATCAAAGAAGTGCACTATCCCAAATTTATTTGTTTAGCAAGTGAACATGAATAACATTTTGTTTGTACTTTTCTGATCATGCCATTTACTGTATTCTGTCTTGAATTACAGGATTTTTTCCTCATATTTCCTATTATATCCTGAAAATCTTAAGTTCCTTGTATTTTCTTTCTCTTTACCTCCTCTCCAGTGCCTAGCACAGTGCGTTACATATAATAGAATCAGCAAATATTTGTTAATTTGATAGACATTACTCATATTTTGCATGTACATATGTACATGCATATGTATGTTTGTGTGTGTGTGTGATGTATATGTGTATGTGTATATTTGACTGAAAGGTGGTACAGTGGATACAGTGCTGAGTCTGGAGTCAGGAAGACTTGAGTTTTAATGTGGCCTTGGATACTTTCTATCTTTGTGACCCTGGGCAAGTTACCTAACCTCTGTCTGCCTCATTTTTCCTTAACTGTAAAATGGGGATATGAATAGCACTTACCTCACAGGGTTATTGTAAGAACCAAATGAGATAATCTATACAAAGTAATAGGACAGTGCCTGACATACAGTGATTACTCAGTGCTTGTTCTCTCCTCTAACTCCTCATCTTCCATCTAGGCTTGCTAAACTCATGATTGACTCAAAATCCTTCACACTAGTTGCAAAAATTCAGGATATGGGGATAAAACTTTTTTCACTAATAATAAATAATGCTGGTGTTATTGTGCTGAAATAGCACCAGAGAGTGGGAAGGATGACTACCATTATCCTTCTTGCAAAAACACAACTCCTGAAAAAGTCTGTTAAAAGGTTGTGAAGATTTTTTTTCCCTAGGCCATTGTATTAATTTCTATTAACTGAGGAAGCCTTTGAAGTCAAATGCATTCTTCATTTATTTCCAAGAAGTCATTCATAATCCTAATAACCTTGCCATTTGTTCAAGGAGCTAGATTAGATTGCTTATGTTGTATTATTTTGTATTTACTTTTAACACTCCGCCCCAGAACACACTTAATGAGGATGAAAATGGTAACACATCAGAGGCGTCCTTTTTATGTGACCATCAGGAGAGTCTTTTTGTTCAGAGTGAACACAAACTCCCACATAATCATATGGTGATGCATTAAAATTAACGTAATTTTTAGCAGCTTTGACAAGCTTAAATGCTTGTCCTGGAATCACTGACTCTATGTTTTCGTGTGCCCTCTTGCACTCTAGATAAGTAGTGAATGATAAGGTCTATCAAGTCTCTGATTTATGGAAACAGAATGGGCCTTTACCTCTTCCAGAATTTTATGTTTATGGTTCACCTGCAAGGAAGCTAAGAGAAGTATGTAAACTGTTGAGCAAAGAACATCTGGCCAATCTCTTTGAAACAGAATTGGTTTCTCTGCTGCTACTAAGTCTCCTTCCTTTGTTTTTTTTTGTTTTGTTTTGTTTTGGGTTTTTTTTTAATTGATTCCCTGATATTTTTGACCTTTTGGTCTTCCAGATCCAAGTTTGTTATTATTTAACTCTATAAATCAATTCTTTGATTTATACTACAATAAGTAAATTAATTTAGGTGATATTATAATTTTTATTATATTGGCTGAGCCTATTCATGAGCAATTGATATTTTTCCAGTTATTTAGCTCTGTCTTTATGTGAAGAGTGTTTTGTTATTGTGTTCATATTGTCTGTGTGTGTGTCTTGGCAGACTCCCAAGTATTTTGTACTATTTGTGGTAGTTTTAAATGGAACTTCTCTTTCTAGCTCTTCCTGTTGGGTTTTGTTGGTAATACAGAGAAATAGTATACTATTTTGAAGTCTGTTAATATTACTACATGTTTATCTTCTACCAAAAGTAGTACTCTGGCTCGAAATTAAGATTTTGAATTCTTTGGGGGAGGGAGATAAAGGATCTTACTGTCTCTCTCTGGTCGTAAGTGCAGGAGCTATGCATAGACCCAGACTTTGTACTGAAGCTTTAACGGGCTGTTTTATTGTTTATTGTTTTTTTTTTTTCCTGCCTGGGCTACTTCACCCTTTGTTAGACAGCCTGGTGGACCCCAGATCCTGGGAGCTCACTGTATTGGTGCTGGACCGAGTGCAGATACCCAATCAATCAGCTTTAACCCAACTCCTGAACTTCAGCAATCCCCTAGTCTTAGCCTTCCTAGCAGCAGGGACTTACGAGGGTGCACCACCATGACCTGGCTAAGCTGGAATATTTGAAGACAATGCCATCAGAGTTTTAGTTTTCCCAGGTCTTAGCAAACTTGACAGGCTTTTAATATGGGCCTAGTTATTAACTTCATGTACATAGTCTGAGGACTGGACTAGCCTAGTCTAGTTCAGAAGACTCATGACCATATTGGCCTCAGGGTGGTGGATTTTTTTTTTTTTTATCATAGCACCTTATGAAGATTATGTACTAAGTGTTAGGAGGGGATTGTGATCTGTGTTGATGAAAGGAGAATATATGCTATTGAAACCACAGATTCTTTAATTATTAAAGTACACTTAAATGTGGGGTGAATTTGGCCTTATAAAGCATTTCAATGTGGTCTTTTTCATAATTTCTCAAAAGCAAAACAAACAAAACACCAAAACTAAAAGAAACTAAAACTAAAAGTTCCCCAAACTAAAGAAGCCATCAGATAATGACTTGTTCCAATGTTTCCTATTACACCCTCCAGATTTTATGCTTCTTCTATTTTACCTATTTTTACATTCCCAAAGTACCTAGCATAGTGTCTTACATACAGTAGTTGGTCAATGTTTATTGAATTAATGTCTGTATATCTTAATAAAAATTTTTCAGTTGACAAAAATTTATTTTCTGTCTTCACTTTTTCCCATTGAAGGGTTAGGAGTTAAGGAGGGTGGGAGAGGGAAAGGGGTGGGGAGAGAGAGACTCTTGTAACAAATATGCATTGTCAAGGAAAAAATTACTGAATTAACCATGTCCAGAAATACATTTCTCATTCCACCTCTTGTATCCACTACCTGGCAGGCAGGAGATGGGTAGCATACTTCATCAGTCAATCAGTTGGCATTTATTAAAAACCTACTATGTGCTAGGGTTTGTGGTTAGTCATTGCATTGATCAGAGTTCTTAAAACTTTCGAAGTTATTTTTCTTTTCGATGTTATTTTATAAATTGTTTTCCTCATTATGCTCACTTCCTATTATATCATTTCATAGAACCTTCACAGATTTCTCTAAAATTGTTCCTTTCTTTATTTCTTACAGCAGAATAGTATTCTGTTATATTCATATACTATCACCTGTTCTCCCATTCCCCAATTGATGGGTGAATCCTTCCTGACCACTTCTTTGCTGCTACAAAAAGAGCTATTATAAATACATACATATATATATATATATATATCTCTACACATATTTTGGTATGTGTGGGTTCTTTTCCTTTTTCTTTGACCTCTTTGAGGAATATGCCTGGTAGTGCTATTACTGGACCAAAAAGCATTATTCATAATTTAATGATTTGGGGGGCTTATTGGTTGTCAAATGATTTCCAGAATGGCTAGAATGTACATGTACATATTAGTGTGTATCTGTGTTCACACCATACACACATACATGCACACACGCACACAAATAGATACATAAAGAGTACCGCAGAAAACCGGTGCTCCAGGTTTAAAATTGCACTTAGACTTTTGGGACACCCTAAATATGAAAAGCACATATGTTTCAGATAGTAGCATTGTCAATTTCAGGATTGTCTCTTCTTTATAATCATCCATAATTTGAATCAAGATTAGCATATTTTAACCAGTTTTTGTAATGACTCTAGGGATGAAAAGAAATTCGTGAACCGATATTGGAAAGAAGTCCGAGTTGGAGATTTTGTTCAGCTTCGATGTAATGAGATCATACCCGCTGACATATTGCTGCTTTCTTCGAGTGACCCTGATGGTCTCTGTCACATTGAAACTGCCAACCTGGATGGAGAAACCAATTTGAAACAGCGGCAGGTGGTGAGGGAATTTTTAGAGCTGGTAAGTAAGCTATGTTGTACTTAAAAGTGAAGATAATAATTAATTGGGGTAACTTGGTTGATGTGATTCATGTAAACTTCATAGTTTTCGAAGCATTTTTCTCATATATACTGTTAATTTAAATTCAATGTCAGTTCTTCCCTATTCATGTATGTATACATTATATATGTATATGAGGGGAGAGAGAGAGAAATTGTGTCAGTATCAGACATGGGACTTGGAGGTCTTCTTGATGCTGAAAATAGTAATCTATCATATAATAAGAGGCCATTCATGTGTATGTCTGCATACACACACACGCACACACATACACACACACATTTATATCAGATACATTGCATTTACCTTATAATACAGGCAGAAAAAATATTATCCCCATTTTACAGACAGAAAGTGAGATAAGGAAACGACATGGTGTCATGGATAGAGTAGTAGGCCTGAAGTTAGGAAGAACTGAATTCAAATCCATTCTCGGACACTTTCTAGCTGTGTGATCCTGGGCAACTCACTTAACCTCTATTTGCCTCAGTTTCCTCAAATGTAAAATGGGGATAATAATAGCGCCTACCTCTCGGGGTTGTTGTGATGATTAAATGAAATAATATTTGTAAAGCACTTAGCACAGTGCTTGGCACATAATAGGCACTATATATACATATATATGCACACATATATACATATACATCTATAATAATATACTATAATATATAATGTCTAATATACACACATATATATGTATATGTATGCATGTGTGTGCCTATACATATAGACACACACACATAATAGGCTAGGTACTCTATGTGTTACATTTGGTGAGATTAAGTGACTTTCTCCAGGTCACACAGGTAATAAGCTGTAGCACCATTACCAGAATCCAAGTCTTTTGACTTTTAGCCAATTTTTTCCATATATTACATTAGATTTCTCAAAAAAAAAAAAAAAAAGGAATCCCTGGAAGTACATAGAGTGAGTTTCAGATGCATCACAGAAACTAGAACCTGATATCAAACTACATAACTGGGTTGAGCTGATCTCTTCCTGTTCATGTGCTTTCCTATTTGTGGTTGGAACAATGTCTACCAGAATCCTTGCCATATAGACTAATATAGTTTTGCCTTATAGTTTTGTTGTTGATGTTTTTTCCCCCAGAAGACAAAAAACCTCTCCCTGAGACTTGATTGGCCCAGGTGACTAAGGCTGTGGTGGTTGATGTGGCTTCCTGCCCACATCAGCATAAAAGAGTCCAGCCCATGAGAAGTCAGCGTCTCTCAGACTTGCCAGTGTCCCACTGCGGTGAGCCTACTGGCCTGGGATGAGTAGCAGGGAAGGTGGGGGCAGTCTCCACCCAAACCAATGTTATAGCCTTGCTAAGTATCATCTTTATGTGCTTGCCAAGTAAGCTTCTTTCTGTTAAGATACTTGTAGACCATCTAAGTTATTTCATTATTTCCTTCCAATTCCATTCCAAACCGGAATTGGGAGTCAGACCCAAGGCCTGGCCTATGACATCATTCTATGCACTAATTAATAATAATAAGAACTGACATTTACATGATAGTGTAAAGGTTGTAAAATGCTTTATCTACAGAATCTCACTCAACATCCTTACAACATCCTTAGAAGGCAGGTGCTATAGATGTGCTTATAGATATCCTTGTTACAGATGAAGAAACAAAGACATAGAATGGTTAAATGACTTCCATAGATATTCATTTCTAAAATATCAGATATAGGATTTGAACCTAGGCCTTCTTGGATGCCAAGGCTAGTGTTCTAGTCTCCGCTCCACGTTGCTTCACAATCGACTACTTTCATGGAGCCTGCATGCTCAGCTCTCCTGTTTGAAACAGCAGAGGAGCAGCTAGGTGGATAATGGATACCACAGTGGATAGAGTGCCGATTCTAGAGTTGGGAAGACTCATCTTCCTGAGTTCAAATCCGGCCTCAGGCACTTACAAACTGAGTGACCCAGGTCATGTCACTTAACCCTGTCTGTCTCAATTTCCTCATCTGTAAAATGAGCTGGAGAAGGAAATGACAAACCACTCTAGTATCTCTGCCAAGAAAAAACTCCATAAGGGATCACAAAGAGTCAGGTATGACTGAAAAGCGACTAAACAACAATAATTGATACAGAAAACTCTTGGAAGGGGAGATTGCCTTCTGTGACTTGTTGCATACTACTTAGATCCAAGCACATTGAACTGAACTCTGCCCGCTCAATAAATCCTTCCTGATTCACATTTACTGAAGCATCACTTTGGAAAAACAAAGGGGACAAAATCTAAAAGGAAGACATTATTTCCTGCTCAGGTGGGTTGGGAGCATTTTCTCTTTATGGGTTTGTTTGTTTCAGGCTTCCTAAGAAGCAGGTCACTGGGTGTGATCCTTTACTTTATGTTGCCATAACTGTGTTCCATCATGTGCAGGGCTAAGAAAATTGTGCACTTCAGGCAAATGAATTGCAATAAACAGAAAAAGAAGGAGTGTAACCATGACCTAACACCCTTCACTAGTGAGTAAGCTTTGAACTGGCTCTGGAAGTGGTTTCAAACACAGAACTCTCTCAGTGGTTTTTAATGTACTCTTCAAGATGGAGTGATAGTCTTCTCCACGCCCCCTCATTCTCCTTAACTCACTTCTGTCTCATGCTTTTGTAAAAATGCACACTTTGCAGCCCTGGACAGCTGCAGTGTATTGGTATTAAAACAGTTTGGGGGAATTGCCTACTAGGAAAATGAGGTGTGGTTAATGTTTTGTTTAAAAATAAGGTATTCTCATTTCAGACTAAGAGAATTATTGATCTTTGTAAAGATGAATGACCAAAAGGCTTCATTCTCAGCCCAAGGCAGGCAGTCCCCAATATATTAGTGGGTTGTGGTTATTTTGAATTCACAGTACATATTCCGATAGAACCAATGTTATAAATGCTCATTAGGTCCCCAGGCCAGTGTTCAAAAGCTTTTGTGGTTAACTTGTTTTTGCTTGTGTCCAACTCTTTGTGATGCCATTTGGTACTTTTTTTGGCAAAGATACTAGAGTGGTTTGCCATTTCCTTCTCCAACTCATTTTACAGATGAGAAAACTGAGGCAAACCAGGGTTAGGTGACTTGACCAGCTAGTAAAGTATATGAGGCCAGATTTGAACTCAGGAAGATGAGTGTTCCTGACTTCAGGTCCAGCAGACTGTCCCACTGCACTACCTCGCTGCTCAATCAAAAACTCACTTAATCTTTAATGTAATTAATAGTACTGGCCCAAAGTTTGAATTCTGAAAGCAGGGAGTCATGAGATGTAGAAAAGAGAAGTAAAGAGAGTATTCTCCCTCTTACAGGGAATGGGCCCTATTCTAGGAAAAACTTTGAAATAGGCAGTTTGTCTTTATTACTACTAATATTAGTAACTAGCATTTATATGGTACCTACTATGTACCAGGTACTGTGCTAAGCATTTTACAGATATTATCTCATGCCACTCCATTGTTTCCCTTTCTGAACCCCTTTCCTTCCTTCTATTGTGGGATCTCTCTGTAGCCCCCCCCCCCCCCAGCCCCAGGACTGTTGTGTTTCCCTAAATTCCCACACTGTGGATTCCTTGCCAGGCCTGCCTTGCCCTCCAGTGCTCCAAAATTATTAACTGTTTTTATTTCCTTCTCTAGGCTTCTGCCTTAGGGCACAAGTGGCTAGACAACATCCTGGGAGACCTCTTCATTCTATGAACTTTGAACCCTTTCTTGAAGCTCACTTTCCCTTGACTATTTGTACATTGGAAAAGGGAAGGCAGTGGTCCAGTGAAAATGGTCAATCTTGATGACCAAAATAAGTTAGGCCCAAAATGCCTCTTTTTTCTCAATCACAGGAGGATTTTTCATAGATTTTTGGAATAATTGCTATAATTCTTCAATGTGCTTATACAGGTACTCTTTTTTTTTTTTTTTTTTTTAAAGATTTTTAAGAGGCAATCAGGATTAAGGACTTTTCCAGGGCCACACAGCTAGTAAGTGCTGAGTGTCTAAGGCCGGATTTGAACTCAGGTCCTCCTGTCTCCAGGGCTGGTGCTTTATGCACTGTGCCACCTACTTTCCCCCACAGGCACTCTACTTTTCCAGCCTTATTTCACAGTATTTGCCTTTAGGAATTCCCATCGTTATGTTCTAGCCAAACTTGACTAGGTTGGTCAAGTAGTTTGGGCACTGCTTTCTCCTGTCTCTGCTTCTATGTAACATCTCCCAATTCCTGGAATAGATTTCCCACCATCTCTTCCCATTGCCATTGTTCATGACCCAGTACAAGTGTGACTTTGCTCTATGAAGCTTTCCTTCACAGCCTAAGCTATAAGCCATCCCTCCCTCTTTGGACCTCATAGGCCACTCTAGTTAACTTCTCCTTTTGCCTTAATCACTTCCTAATCATAGTTATTTCTGTACCTGTCTTACCCCATACCCCAGCTAGATTTAAACTTTGGGGACAAGAAATGTGTCATTTTTCACTTTTGTGTATACAGTTCCTTACACAAAGAAGTATCTTAACAAACATTAGTTGAATTATTGAAGGGAATTTTGAACAAAATTAAAGCAAAATATAAAGAATCATAGATTGAACAAAATTTATAGTGCAAAAAAAAGTCTTGTACTGCATGGAACATGAATATTTCAGGCACATACAAGTATATCATACTTAGAATAAAGGTCTGAGTAAATCCAAGTATTTAACCATGTTAGAAACTGATTACAAACTTCATAATACCTTGGTAATAAAATGTACATTAAGGTTTTAGAATCAAATTATAGGTTTCTGAATGTTAGGGTATGAAATTGCCCAAGTAGACAGTGGCCTTTGGATAAGCTCAAATCATAATTGTCTTTAAAAACCTTTATTAAGAACAAGCTGTTACCTACTGATGTAGCACGTGTTTCGAGGTGACCATCCCAACTCCCACTCATACTGAAAAATCAGGTTCCAAGGGCGTGGCTCCTACATCCAGTCAGGGCTCTAGCGCCA